TGATGTGGGAGTGTCATATCAATCTGTTGATTTAATTGGCTGAGCAATAAAGAAACTGCTGGCCCTGATAGGTTATAAGATAGGTGGGCGGAATAAACAGGATAGGATGCTGGGCGGAAGAGGAAGTGAGGTCAGACTCTGCTCTGTTTCCGGAGAGACCGGACAGCTCTGCTGGAGCAGAGACGCCATGCTCAGCTCTCCCAGGCAGCTGCGACCCACGATGGACTTAGGCTAGAATCTTTCCGGTAAGCGCACCTTGGGGTGCTTACACACATCATTAGAAATGGGCTAGTCCAGGTGCGAGAATTAGTCTGTAAGGGCTAGAGTTCATGGGCCAAGCAGTTCTTTAAATGAATACAGTTTGTGTGTTATTTCGGGCATGAGCTAGCCAAGCGGCCGGGGTGTTGGGGACGCAGCCCTGCCGCTCCTATTTCAACATGAGGGCTTATTTATTCCTTGGCTCCTTCCTGCAAGAGAGCCTAGTCAACACCTCTGTACATAGCCGATTCACAGGGTTCTCTCCTTCCGGGTTCTATCACCTCCTGCCTGCATCTCTTTAGGTTACTGAGCAACTGTCCTTGGGTCCTGCCACAGGGGCCCCTGCTACATCCTGACGATCCATACTGTTTCTATCCACCAAAGCAGTGACCACCTACACACTTAACTGCAGCCTGGCCGCTTTGTGGAAGCCACAGAAAATGGAATCACTCATTAGGGATTTCTTCTCGTGCTGCTTTTTGTGATAAGGTTCATTCGTGAGGGTCCATCTGGGCAGGAAGAGCATGCTGCTGTGTGCACACCTGATTGCAGTCTGCAGCTGGGGGAGGCTGGGCTGCTCCTACTCTGGAGCTCTTACACACAGCGCTAAGAATGCTCTCCTGTCTCCTGGGGCACATAAACATTCAGTCTCACTGGCGAGGTACCAAGGAGTAGCCCGAGCTGTGGCATCTGTACAGCTCACATTTGGTACTTGATATCAAAAGGTCTTCTGTGTTTAAACTCCTGCCAACACACACACGTTAAGCTTTCCTCACTGTAAGCATTCTTACGGGTGAGCAATGTTATTTTGCAGGTTTAGTTTTCATTTTCATGTGCACAGATGAAATTAGCAGACATGCGTGATTGCTGATGTGGACACATGGGTTTTCGTTTTCTTTGTTTGAGAGCCTGTTCCTCTCGGCCACTAGATGGCAGAGTTCCTCCTAGATGCAGATCCACTGCTGGGGGAATCCAGCTATGAAGAAGGTCTTCTGTGTTGAGGAGAGAACAGGAAAGAAGAACTGTCTGTTCCCTCAGAACTGTACCAGCGCTGGGGTGGGAAGACAACCATGGTGCACAATCTGGCACAGAGCAAACGATCTCCGGGCCGTGCCACCACACCACACAGAGTCTGCCTTCAGCACATGTTGAGGAAAGCAGGAGACTGAACGAGAGCATGGGTATGAAGACCTGCCTGATGGGGACCCTTCCACTGCTCCTCTGAGTGATAGACATAACGGCAGGAAAAATCCACATCAAGTAATTAAGAGAAGTTCGGATGCACTCTTAGCATGCAGAAGCCAATTCAGTAAAACCCCCCGTTTCCCACATACCAGTAAACAGGCTTGTATTTAAACAGCCTGGAAACAACGCTCTTTATCAGTCATGGTTAGTCAGCTTTAAATCACTGTCGCGAGTAACCAAGATAAACCTCTAAACACAACAGGTTTATTCTGGCTCGGTTTTAGAGGATTTCCGTCTGAGACTGGCCCCACTGCCCCAAGTGTGTGGAAAAGGATCACACTCGTCAAGGCAGGGACAGCATAGTAGAGCAAACCATTTATCTCATGGCTGCATCTCAGACCCCAAACTGAGGGCATGCCCCCAAGGACCTCCCACTTAAAGGTCCCTACCACCTTCTGAGAATAAATTCCAGGCTGAGGACTAAGCTTTTGACACAGGGACTTCTGGGATGCCTGAGGATCCAATGAGAGCACTGGCCCACCTAAGCCCTCTTTCTTCTGACCGGTGACCTCGTGTTACACGCAAGGTCCTCGGTCCTCCGCACGTCTCCTTTAACTAAAACTTCAAGAGCATCACAATAGCCCTGGGTTCTCAGGGAGAACCCTCTGTGAACCCTTGGCCTGGGGCACAAGACTTCAGCAGCTATAGGACTGGTAAGTGCCAGGTGGAGTCCTCTCTAGACTCTAAGGGCAGTCTATAGTCTATGACTTTGCTGCTTAGTTAAACTTATCTGCCATACTGATTGTCGTATCTGGGTTCAAGTCATTCTTTATGGGTAAGTAACTGTCTAAATGTTCACAACATTTTAAGCTGCACACAAGAGACAGAATGGGGAAGGCTAAATCACAGACAATTTAGGAAATTAAAGGAAGCTTCTCTTCATTCTAAGTGGCTATAAGACTATGTCTATAAATCACTGGGATTAAAAAATGAATCTAGACCAACGCTCAGACTTTACTCAGAAATTCCTACTATTTGAAACACCCTGACCTTCAACTCCTGAGCCCTGCCCTTCTGAAGCAGCAACAGTTGAGTCGTTGGTCCGAGAAAGTGAGAAGCAGAGATGAGGGCTCTCCTGTCACGTTAGAGTGCCAGGGCAGGGGGGGGGAGGGGGGCTAGGGTTCCTCCCTAGTGTAGCTCTCTCTGTGGTTCTCACGTCTCCATGGGGACGGCTGTGGGCTGGTCTCTGAGCGCTTGCTGTCCACTGTCCCGCGCTGGGACAGGCCAGGTGCACAGCCTTTCAGCCGTCTCTGGCCGCAGTGCAGGCAGGGGATCAGGATGAAGAGCTCCTGCACTTGTATGGGTGCCCATGGCACACACAAAGCTTTACCCAAGGGGCATCTTCCACAGAGGCAGGATGTACAGCTAGTAACCGTCTCTACCTTCAATGCTGTCCTAGCTAAACCTATTTATTCAAAAGCTGGGCTCCCATACTAAAATAAAAATTCACCCACACAGACCTAAACATTTGATAAGTGAAGGGAACCTGCGGCCCACTTTGGCTGGAACCAAGTTCCTCTCACATTCCAAAACATAGTGAGGAACGGCCCTGAAGTTCCTGTGTGAGAGTAAGAATTACCCGCAGGCAAAGGAGACTTAAACTTTGACCCTTGACCTACTCTGAGACCCGGCCACGCACACAGACCTTCCCCCTAGGCTCCAGGTCTCGAGCTGTCCCTGCAGCTGTCCATCACCCCCTGCCTCTCCGTCTGTTCCCCTCCTTATCACCCCCCTCCCTCTCCATCACCCCCTCCCTCTCCGTCTGTTCCCCTCCTTATCTGTTTGAGAGCCAGCACAGGTTCTGTCACGGCATCAAAGCCAACTAAGCGTGGGACATCGACACAAACGCACGGCCCAGAGCTGGGTCAAGGAATCTTCCAGGCCAGTTCAGCATGAGAGGGCAGAGAACAAGTCTGAGAAATGGCAGAGGACAGACGGCAGCTGGTCATGGCAGCCAAGGAGACGGTCTACAGTGGACCCGCTGAGCCTTTGGGAAGTTCCTAATCTGCCTGGTGCCTTGCACTAAAAAATGGAAGTTCTCAATTACGAATGCTATGTGCAGGAAAAGACTCATGTCTTAATGAGAAACACCCCAGACATGAGCCTGCAGCACTTCCTGTCAGAAACCTCGTCATGGACTGTGTGATGCAGGGAGGATGCACCGGGTCCCAGTCAGGCTCCTGTGTGGCACAGGAAAGAACGTGACTCCAGAGAGAACATTTATGATGTAATTTAGCAGTGATGAAGTCACATCTAAAAGAGGAGCCAAGGCAATCATTACTACAGTAGCAGACGGCCGGGCAGCCTCTGAGTACAGCACGCTCCATTTCCTCACTGACAGGAAGCACAGCAGTGGCCTCCAGTGACTCTAGAGTACATGACTCCTGAGGCCCCCATGGTTCCCGACAGCAAGTTCAAGGAGGGCATGGTGGCTCATGCCTGTCGCCCACCACTTGAGACAGAGGCAGAGAGATGGGTACAGTTCCAGGCCAGCCTGGTCTCCAAGGGGAGGAAGGGTGAGGTGGCTGCAGCTGTATTAAATCCCTTATTGAGAACAGAGAAGGAGCTGTGCTTGGTTAGCCTTTAAAGCCTGGCAAACCCTGTGTGACTGATGTGGAGACACTCAGAACTGGACAAGAGGCAGCTCACTTTTAAGAGAAAGTTAAGTGCAGCTTAGCTAGACAGCAACAGTTTGGAGGTTTCACTTCCCTTCTTAGCTGAGGACACTCCTATATGCAAATTCTTCCAATCACTCACCCGGTCCTTCCGAAGATTTGCAGAGACAGTCAGGCAAAAAAAAAAAAAATAGTAAAATGAAATAAAAAAAGATGACTGCTAGGCCAGGCGATGGTGGCGCACGCCTTTAATCCCAGCACTCGGGAGGCAGAGGCAGGCGGATCTCTGTGAGTTCGAGACCAGCCTGGTCTACAGAGCTAGTTCCAGGACAGGCTCCAAAGCCACAGAGAAACCCTGTCTCAAAAAACCAAAAAAAAAAAAAAAAAAAAAAAAAAAAATGACTGCTAGACGTCCTTGAGATAGAAAGGGGAGAGAGTAGTGGGAAGCAGCCACAGGCTCAGGAACAGATCTGCAGGACAGAGTGCAGGCAGGCGGCCATGGAGTCCAGCTGGAGGTGCTGGGAATCTGGAAATGTGAGACGCGCCATGATGTAATTCACAAACCTGGGAGAGACGACTGAGGAGCCTGAATGGCAGGTGCCTTTCACAGGCGGGACTTTTCTGGAGTAGATTCTGCGTACTTCGGTTGTAGAGGCCACCCAGGCCAACACCAAAGCTGGACAAAGCTGGACACAGTCAACAGCCTAGAGAGAGGCCAGGCTTCGAACCCTGCTGTGCCCAACACCAAACCTCCTTTCTATAAATGACAGACTTCTGACAACAAAACAACCAGCTAATTCAAGAAAATTTCCGTTCTTTATGCCTTTCTTCAAGATATGCTATCATTTCAAGAGGAGCCTGAGCGGAGCAGGACTTCATAAACAAATCACTTGTGAAAGAGAAAAAACCACATCCAGGGTAAAGCCCCAGGCTGAGAACCTTGTTTCAGAGCACTTCCTGAAAGAGGCCGTGCAGCACTCAGCCCAGACAGCTCCATATCGGTACTACATCTCCAAGAGCCTTTCCACGGCACAGCGGCACAGCGAGCCGAGACAGAAGCACCACTAACCCAAGCTCCGAGAGCTCTTCACGGGACCGCACATCGGCAGAGGTAAGCGCCATCCAACAACCTGGTGGTAAATCAGCAGCAGCAGACGACACCCTGGGACACGCAGCTGTCCTTTCTCCAGGACCTGGCACTCGTTTCCAGTGTTTTATGTTGACAGTAAGGGTAGAGTTTTAGGATTTTTTATTTTTGAGATTAGAATTACATCATTTCTTCCTTCCCTTTCCTCTCAAATCCTCCCCCACCATATACCTCCTTGCTCTTTCAAATTCATGGCCTTTCTCATTAATTGTAGTTACTCACACACATGCACACATACGAACACACATGTACACACGCATGCACACACACGTACACACAAACACACGCACACATATATGTCCTGCTCAGTCTGTGTAATGTTACTTGTATGTAAGTCTTCAGGGCTGGCCATGCAGGACCGGATAGCAGTTGTGGGCTCTGCCCTGGGGAGGGCCATTTCTCCTGCAGCACGGGATAACCAGTTGTGGGCTCTACCCTGGGGAGGGCCATTTCTCCTGCAGGACCGGATAACCAGTTGTGGGCTCTGCCCTGGGGAGGGACATTTCTCCTGCAGCACCGGATAACCAGTTGTGGGCTCTGCCCTGGGGAGGGCCATTTCTCCTGCAGCACCGGATAACCAGTTGTGGGCTCTGCCCTGGGGAGGGCCATTTCTCCTGCAGCACCGGATAACCAGTTGTGGGCTCTGCCCTGGGGAGGGCCATTTCTCCCACTTTCAGCACGGGAGGTGCCAGTTGCTCTTCCCCCACCCGTTTAGCACAAGTTTATGACACGATACATCATAAGGTATCTCGCTGTCTTTGTCGTGTGGTATCAACTATATTGTTTCATGAAATTTGTTGGTTTCAAGAAAAACACTACAGATAATCATGAAATTAAGTATTTCAAAAGTTAACCTGAAAGCCAGTCAGTTTTCGACACTTCCCCAAAACCCTGCAGAACACAGCCGGTACGGCAACACTGAGACACATCACCACACTGGAGCAAAGGCACAAGCAAGAACTGGTGATAAGTGGACTACAGAAAAGCGGCCAGGGGGGAGGGTGAGGCAGGGCGGCCAAGCTGGTTTGTGTGTGTAAGCATTTCCACAGCACTGTCAGAGCGGAGGAGGACGACTCTGAATTCATTCACTCTGCGATGCTATTCTCAAGTCCACTAAGAGTTAAAACGTTTAAGCCTCTAAGTAACCTTTGCTTAATAATAAAAATTTAACTTTTCTATGCACCAATTTTATCATTTGGGTAGAAACTAATATTCTAGTTATAGAAATGTTTGGGGGCGCTTTTCAGACAGGGCCTCACTGGCTGCCCTGGGACTCACTATGTAGAGCAAACCGGCTTCAAGCAGAGCTCTGCCTCCCTCTGCCCCGAGCGCTGGGATTACAAGCGTGTGCCGCAATTCTCGGCTTTATTTGGAAATGTTAATACAGGTTTTCATATATAGGATTTTATTCCAAAATCACATTTAAACCAAACATGGGACAAACAACTATGGGAAGAAGGGAGGGAGGAACACATGGACCCCACGCTTGTCCACGGTCATCGGCTGGCCATGGGCTGTGACCCCTCTGTGAGTTCCACTGAGGAGATAGCCCAGGCTGAATCAGAGATGAGCACCCTACAGAGCGATGCTGATGAAGACAACTTCTCATACACCCCCATATCGCAAAGAGATGCCTCCAGGTTCCATCTCTTCATAGTGAACGTTTTTAAGTCTCTGCTGGCATTGCACCCCAGGAATTTCTTCACACTGACAGCACCTTATTTATAAACACTATTAAACTAATTTCTAAATGAACACTTTCGATGGTGGGATTATTAGTTTCTATATACACAAGTAAGGACTTCTCAGGCCTACTTGACTTTGACAGAATTTACGTGCTTCTAGGCCAGCAGGAGCAGTAACTAGACTAGAAAAACATCCTCAAAGCACTGCTTTCTCTGCCCCACTGATGCAACTGCACGCTGGGGAACAAAACATGTCAGCCCCTGCCTCAGATACTCCCATCTGTATACTTGTTGCTCCAGGGTGCTAGTAGACCATGACAGAATCGTAGAGAGCCTAGACCTATGACACAGTAGTCCAGACCTACAACACAGTAGTCCAGACCCACGACACAGTAGTCCAGACCCACAACACAGTAGTCCAGACCCACGACACAGTAGTCCAGACCCACGACACAGTAGTCCAGACCCACGACACAGTAGTCCAGACCCACGACACAGTAGTCCAGACCCACGACACAGTAGTCCAGACCCACGACACAGTAGTCCAGACCCACGACACAGTAGTCCAGACCCACGACACAGTAGTCCAGACCCACGACACAGTAGTCCAGACCCACGACACAGTAGTCCAGACCCACGACACAGTAGTCCAGACCCACGACACAGTAGTCCAGACCCACGACACAGTAGTCCAGACCCACGACACAGTAGTCCAGACCCACGACACAGTAGTCCAGACCCACGACACAGTAGTCCAGACCCACGACACAGTAGTCCAGACCCACGACACAGTAGTCCAGACCCACGACACAGTAGTCCAGACCCACGACACAGTAGTCCAGACCCACGACACAGTAGTCCAGACCCACGACACAGTAGTCCAGACCCACGACACAGTAGTCCAGACCCACGACACAGTAGTCCAGACCCACGACACAGTAGTCCAGACCCACGACACAGTAGTCCAGACCCACGACACAGTAGTCCAGACCCACGACACAGCAGTCCAGACCCACGACACAGCAGTCCAGACCCACGACACAGCAGTCCAGACCCACGACACAGTAATCCACACCCACGACACAGCAGTCCAGACCCACGACACAGTAGTCCAGACCACGACACAGTAGTCCAGACCACGACAATCTTTAGATAGTTTAGGGTGACACTGGGAGAAAGTCTACAACTTCAAGAAAAAGGTGTGGGGTCAACGGAGAACTACAAGACCTCACTGACAAGGTGGGTCAGAGCTGTGAGGGGCAGCTCACCCAATGCTCACAGACCACTGAGCACTGCCTATCGTGTGCCAGAGGGGCAGCAGAGACAGAGCAGCAAGAGAAACCCAAGTTCCTGGCGCTCACACACGAGAGCTGCTGCCGCTGCTGCTCTGGCTCCGTCAGTGTTCTAGTGTGGGCTTTGTAAATTATGATCTGAGTTATAAAATAAAGAGAATGAAAATGATAAAAATTGACAAGCCATTTTATAGGATTTAGAATCCAGATGGGCCCTTTCCCCAGTACTCCAGAGAATTCTCACTGTCTCTTAATTGATTACTTGGGAAAGAGAGAGATAAGCAAGGTCAATGAAACTGGACAAATCTCCCAGAGCGTCATGGTGCCTGAGGGCACCTGAACTGACTGGGGCTGGGTGTGGTCGTGCACACCTTTAATCACAGGTAACTCAGGAGGCAGGACAGGTAGAACTCTGTGAAGGGAAGGTCAGCTTGGTTGAAATAGTGACTTCCAGGACAGTCGGGGTTATACAGAGAAACCCTTTCTCAAAAATAAAGGAAGGGAGGGAGGAAGAAAGGAGAAAGGAGGAAAGAGACTAAAGAAATCAGTAAACAATAACAATGACATCTAGGGCATATGTTCTTGAAAACTACTAAGGCATGCACCTGGACTCTTGGATATGAAAGTTCACGCACAGCAAGACGCCTGATGTTGTTGAGCGCGTTTCCAACCAAGCTCTTATCCCCGTTTCCTTACTCGTCCTCACAGTTCCCATGCACCATGGGCACCGGCCTGCTGTAAGATGACCACCCCCAGCAACCGCGACCAGGTGGTCCTTTCTAACAGCGCACACCCAGATGAGTACAAGATCGCGGCCCTGGTCTTCTACAGCTGCATCTTCCTGATTGGATTATTTGTTAATGTCACCGCGCTATGGGTTTTCAGCTGTACGACCAAGAAAAGAACCACCGTGACTGTCTACATGATGAACGTCGCGCTGCTGGACTTAATATTTATCCTGAGTCTACCCTTTCGGATGTTTTACTATGCAAAAGGTGAATGGCCATTCGGGGAGTACTTCTGCCACATTCTTGGGGCCCTGGTGGTGTTTTACCCGAGCATGGCTCTGTGGCTTCTGGCTTTCATCAGTGCTGACAGATACATGGCCATCGTACAGCCAAAATACGCCAAGGAACTCAAGAACACCTGCAAGGCTGTGCTGGCCTGTGTGGGGGTCTGGATAATGACCCTGACCACCACTGTCCCTCTGCTCCTGCTTTACGAAGACCCCGACAAAGCCTCCTCGCCTGCCACCTGCCTGAAGATTTCGGACATCATCCACTTAAAAGCCGTCAATGTGCTCAACTTCACCCGGCTCGTGTTCTTCTTCCTGATCCCGCTGTTCATCATGATCGGGTGCTATGTGGTCATCACCCACAGCCTCCTGCGAGGGCAGACGTCCAAGCTGACGCCCAAGGTGAAGGAGAAGTCCATCCGGATCATCATCACCCTGCTGGTGCAGGTGCTCATCTGCTTCGTGCCTTTCCACATCTGCTTCGCCGTCCTGATGCTGGGCGGGGAGGGGAACAGCTACAGCCCCTGGGGCGCCTTCACCACCTTCCTCATGAACCTCAGCACCTGCCTGGACGTCGTCCTCTACTACATCGTGTCCAAGCAGTTCCAGGCTCGGGTCATCAGCGTCATGCTGTACCGCAATTACCTCCGCAGCATGCGCAGGAAAAGCTTCCGATCTGGCAGCTTACGGTCACTTAGCAATGTGAACAGTGAAATGCTATGAGTCAGAGCAAGCAACCTGTCTTTAATCTCATTAAAACTCTTTGTCTACCTACTGTTGGGTGAGTCGGGATTCTGTATCATCCAGCCTCTTCTCTGGTAAAAATAATAATAATAATAATAATAACAATAACTTTAAACACTTCTGTGCTATTTTATTATTCCAGCAACATAATTAAACCCTGAGTATTCTGATATGCTCATTTATTTTTATCTTACACCTTGTATAAGACATGTGCATGAGCCATTTGTGGGGGTCATGCTTGTGACCCCAGCATTCAAAAGGCAGACGAAGGCCAGTCCAGGCTACATGGTGAGACTCTGTCTCAAAAACATTAATAAAAATACAAAGAACAAGTTCATGAATTACTTGGGGAGGGCCACCCAAATCAGGTTCCATCCCAAGCCTCATCTGAGCAGGCTGTGAAATGCCTTAACGTGTTTTGATTAACTTCTGCACATAAGTGAGGGAAATAAGTTACTGTTCAGAATGATCTGATAGATCCCTTCTGTCAGTTCACACTTGGGATGGCGGAATGATCTGATAGATCCCTTCTGTCAGTTCACACTTGGGATGGCGGAATGATCTGATAGATCCCTTCTGTCAGTTCACACTTGGGATGGCGGAATGATTTGATAGATCCCTTCTATCAGTTCACACTTGGGATGGCGGAATGATCTGATAGATCCCTTCTGTCAGTTCACACTTGGGATGGCGGTCCAAATTCCGTGTGCTCTGCTCCAGACATCAGCTCTCAAGGATCCGGCACTCTGCCCAGCCCACCACAGGACACAGCTGACGGCAGCAGGGCGCTCCAGAGGCCCCATCCTTTCTCTCTCCCCAACCCCGACCTAAGGCAAATGCTGGGAAGGTGACTGTGCTGTACTCGGATAACTTGTTAATCACACTACCAGCAGCCTGTTCTTAACGGATAAAGATACACTGTAAAGGTTTTTCCAGGCCACATGTTGGTTGGGGAATCTCAGCTCTGATCCTGGTCTACCCATTTGGATTCTCCATTAAGAAACTTGTCTAAAAGCAAAGGAGGTGAATATCACATAAACATAAACGACTCAGCTGAAAGCTTCCTCTACAAAATCACCTCCATTACTCTTCTGTCCTGGAGCTCAGAGACCCACCTGCCTCTGCAGGTCTCGTACCAACTGTTCAATAATAAGCAAACCGTTTACAAAAACGTCCTAACTATTGGATGCGGGAGCAACGGTGGAGGTTTTTGATGCAGTCTCTCAACAGAGGAAAATAAGGGAAGATTTCAGATGCAAGCGAGTAAAACCCTTTAATAACATGGCGGGGGGGGGGGGGCTGCAGTTCCTATGCAGTTCAGGGCACGAATATGCACAGTGCTGGGTGGCAGAGCACCAGCCTAGCGTGTGAGGAGGCCCTGCATCCGACTTCCGCCTAGAGGGAGGGAAAGGCCTGAGCAGAGCCTATTTTCAGCTGTTCAGACCAACCTACTCCTGGGCGCGTTCTCCGCAAGCTCTTTCCAAAAGGTTTTCCTGGGAGTGGTGTGGAAGTGTGAAGCACAGTGAGAGCACAGACACGGCAGTGAGACGAACCGCGTCCCGTGGTCCTTACAGGGAAATTAAACGCAACGAAAAATTCCTGGGAGTGTAATTTATTAGCACTGTAATCAGACGCTCTTTGAAATTTATGTATTGTGTATATATACATCTGGGCATGTATGTGCCACGTGTGTAGAGACCACTTATCTCCCTCCACCGTGTGGGTTCCAGGGATCACACTCAGGTATCAGGCTTAGTAGCAAGTGCTACTAAGTGCTACCCAGCGATCGATCTCACCAGCGCTACACACTCTAACATATGAAAAAATTCAAATTCAATTATTCTGCAGGGGTTTGAACCTAGAAAACACCCATATACAAATACTAACAAGTAATAAACAATAGGAGTATTAGGGCAAACCTGTCGAGCACAGGTTACTAGACACAGTTCACATATATAGCTTCTAATAAGGTAGCTACTTTGAAAGCAAAGTGGTTTTTTCTGCATTAAGTTGTGAACATCCATTGGATGTCAGGTGCAGTCTCTGCACAGAGCGTTAAGTTGTGAACGTCCATTGGATGTCAGGTGCAGTCTCTGCACAGAGAGTTAAGTTGTGAACGTCCATTGGATGTCAGGTGCAGTCTCTGCACAGAACGCTACAGAAAGCACAGACCAACGATGCAGACATCAATAACCTTGCCTCAGAGTCTAACTGGGCTCACCGGCAACGATCCTTCAGAGTCTTGTGAGCTCATCAAGTACATATCAGACCTAGGCTCTTTCTCAAGGACCTAGTCAATAGCACAGAGGGTCAACAAAGAGAATTCTATGATATGAAAACAAGTAAACGCAATAAACATTCGTCGAGTTAGTAAAACTTTTGCCATAACACACACAAAAGGACAAGCCATTCTGTCAAACAAGAGGCAGCCAAGAGCAAGCTGTCCGGGGAGGCTGGAGTGACAGCCTCAGCCTGCAGAGCAGAGCTCCAGGAAAGAAGGAAACCAAATGCGGGGCTTGCTTAGCGCCCCTCATGGCCCTGTGCAGTAGAGCACCTCCCACTGACGTACGTCATGGGTGCTAGTAAGCGGCACAGCTGGAACCCAAATCTGTGATGGCAAAGTCCTTGCTGTCTGCTCCTCCCACTCTAGATGGGACCTGTGGAGTATGACCCTTATTCCAAAGAAAACGGAAATTCAAGGTTTGGGGATTTTTGTTTGTTTTGTCTTTAATCCTAGAACAGCTGTGACAGCTGTTTCCCTTCTTTAACGCTGATTTTTAGTGTGTACGTGTATGAGAATGTGTATGTATGTGAGTGTATGTGAGAATGTGTGTGGGTATGTGTGCAAGTGTGTGCAAGTGTGTGTGCAAGTGCGTGTGCATGTACACACACATAGGCTACAGCACACATATGGGAGTCATAGGACAGCTCACTTCTCTCCTCCCCCGTGTGAGTTTCAGGGGTCTGGTGTGACTATTACCAGTCTCATTCTTACACCAACACATCACACACATGCCTCAAAACTCAGTAAGTAGCCTTTGTTAGGAACCAGGAGGAATTGGCCAGATGAGACCTATTCTGAGAGAAACAAGTGCTGAGGTGAACACCGAATCCTTCTCCAGCACCACACCCTGCTCACAGGAGCAGCAGCCCACACCCCCGTCCCCACACTAATGACAAGGCCACATAGAACCACACGTTACTAACAGTGAAGGGCACTGCTCATGAGGTGTCTGACATAACACTAGTCATGTATCTACAATAGAGATCCAGCTTTAGAATCAAGGAACCTAATACACCCTACAGTTCTCAAACCCACACTGTAAAATTAGAACAAGCCTAAAGTTAGTGCACACAGAATTTTAAATACCAAGTTTCCCCAACTTCACGCTGCTGTGCGCGCCTCTCAAGCACAGGCTCATCTACTTAATCCTGATATGCGCTAGGTCTTCTGCAGGCGCCGACGCTCTGCAAGCGTGACTGCCGTAGGTCGCTGCAGGAAGCACAAGCTTTCCTTACCTGTGCACTGACATGGCTCTACCCTGGGTGAACAACCTAAAAGTCCCTTCAGAAACTCAATTCCAGTACATCTATTTTGTTATTAGGGCTAATTAAATTTGGATTTTTTTATTTAATTATTTCATAAAATTACAACAGCAAAATATCACTATAAAAATACACAAAACAAGGGGGCTGGAGAGATGGCTCAGTGGTTAAGAGCATTGCCTGCTCTTCCAAAGGTCTTGAGTTCAATTCCCAGCAATCATATGGTGGCTCACAACCATCTGTAATGAGGTCTGGTGCCCTCTTCTGGCCTGCAGACATACACACAGACAGAATATTGTATGCATAATAAATAAATAAATATTTTAAAAAAAATACACAAAACAAATTAAATTTGAGGAATTCAGAGTGGTTTATCACCACAGCCCCTGGAAACCCTGAACAAAAGAATTGTGAATTAGAGGCCATCCTGGGTTACACACGAGACACTGTCTCAAACAAACAAATTACAGAAGGACTGAAAGGAAAAGGGAAGAACCGTGACACTGATTATCTTAGGAACATGAGGGATATGTACGCATACACTGGATTTTCTTTACACACACACTTACTTACTATATCTGAAAGTACAGAGTCTCTTTTATTAGACAGACCCTCACTCACTAGGTAGCCCTGACTGACCTGAAACTCGCTATGGAGAGCAGGCTGGCCTTGAGATCACAGACATCCCAAGTGCCTGGACTAAAGTTGTGGCCACCACAGCCAGCTTAAAAGACCTTTAGTGAAAGTTGGTGAATGACAGTATTTCAAACAGATTTAAGAATCCTAAATAAATAACTCCAAACCGTGAGCCACTTACAATCCAGAAGGCAAATTATTGGCCACAGGGATTCCAAATGAATACTGGACAGCTTCCACAAGGACCAGGTCAAACAAGGCTGACAAGACCCAGGAGCCCAGCAAGAAGGACTAAAAATAAAAGGAGAAACAGAGAATGAGTTGCCCAACAATAAATAACGGCTGCTTAGTTAACATGCATTCAGGTATGCGGGGGGGGGGGGTACGCACATATACATGTATATATGCATATCACATATATGTATACATGCATAAGCATAGTTTTATATTGCTTGTTTTTGTTACTTTCCAAAATTAGCAAATAAATAATTATTGTTCACATGTACTAGTTTCTAGAATTTCTAGACGTGTTGAAAAACAACATTTAATTAGGACATACTGCTAATAAGTAGCACATATACTATTAAGACAAGTAAGTGAAGAGCATTTTATTAGCTAAAGTTCTAATTAAAATTTTTATCACTGGCACACACAATGTGTGTATTACCATCATTTCAATTGTTTTCTCATGCTATTGGCTTAAATTTAAAGTTTTTCTTTGGTTAATGTTGAAATTAATCAAATTAGATCTAGAATCATGTAATTTAAGAGATAACTATAAATAATACACTAAGTCTTAAATAAGGAGAGCATTTGAAACAAGGGTCCAGAACAGTGCTGCACGCCTGTAATCCCAGTATTCTGGAGCCTGAATGCGTGGTTACAAGCTAGAGGTCATCTTGGGAAAATAGGAGAAACTTCCGAGTTTAAAAAACAAAACGTAAGGGCTAGAGAAGTAGCTGGAGGCA